CCAGGGGATCTGTGCAGCTGTGTCCACCTACATATAGAAGTATCAGTAAGATTTATACTGTATGTTACTTATATATTTACAATACAATACAATGCAGAAATAAAAGGAGAAAAAGTGTCACAGAGTTTACCTCGTATTGTAGGTTGTTGACCTCCAGCTCAGTGCACCCGCCACTGTAGGTGAAGTACAGACTGCTGTCTTCTTCAGAAAAAAACAGTTCTGTGTCTTTGTCCTGCGAGTAGGGAAAAAAGTCCAAACGCACATGGCTTTAATGTTTTTAAATTTACTGACATGAGACATCTCTACAGAATCAAAGAAAGTTTTTTCTTTATACCAGAGAATGAATGAGATAAAATCACAGTTAACTTCATTTTGGTACACTTTATGTGCAGTAACTCTGTAGTTGATTGAAGATTATGCTTTAAATGGGAATTCATTCAAAACTAACCTGCAATGATCCATGCGGCGATGCAACACTGGTGTCCATGTCTGAGTCCACTGGGTTCAGGTCAATGCCCCTCTTTGGCTGCTTTGAGTCCAGCTGCTTCTCTGGTTTTTCTATTGATGACCTTTTTAGGCTCTTTCATTCAGCTCAGAGCTAGAAAAACTCAGCACATGTTAGCAGCATCCTCTCTTGGAAATGTGAATGAAGTGTTCTGCTTGAACCTCATGCACTAAAATGCCTACTCAAGGGAGGTTTTTTTTCTTTTTGGTCCACTTTATACAACCCTGGATCAAAGTTCTCGAGATAACACAGTATTAGTGTTTATTATCCCTGTGGGATCTTACTGCGTAGCTGCAGCAGCACAGGGTCCCTGCTTCTGTAGCGCAAATATATTTCACACACACGTCTACATAGATATTATATTGTTTTTGAACTGGCTACAGACATGGATGGATTTTACTCACTGAAGACAGCAGGACAAGAGAAGGAAACTAGCTTCAGCCAGTCGTTCAAACTGGTAAAACGAGATGCCTGGAGAGATAGTGGAGAGCGAGTGCCTGAGCCATCCTGCTGCCTCAGTGTCAACAAGATCTCTTATACAGTCAGGTATGCGTTCACCTTTATAATAATTAAATGAAAATACAGTAATTAAGGAGTCACCTTGTGTTCACTGATACTAAATTGTGTCTATGTTTTAGTGAGCGCTTGGGTCCATGGTGGGACTTACCCTCCTACAGGAAGAGATGGACCCGGCAGATACTCAATGACATATCTTTCCATGTGGACAGTGGACAGATCATGGGAATCCTGGGGAATTCAGGTTTACACACAATAAAAATTGTATTGTAAGTAACAACATTTTATTCAATAACGTTGACGGGAAAATGTGTGTAAAGGCTCCGGGAAAACAACACTGTTGGATGCGATTTCTGGAAGGATTGGAAACAGTGGCGTACTGTTGGGTGAGGTGTTCATAAATGGGAGAAAATTGAAAAGAGAGGAGTATCAGGACTGTTTCTCCTACGTATTACAGGTAACATGTAGCCCAACAATTAGGTAATTATCTATGTGTGAGTAAATGCAATCAGAGTAGACATCACTAAATAGCAGTTATATATAACAGTAAATATTATTATTATAATAATATAAGTGCATTATTATATTATACTATTATATTATATAAGGATGCATTATTTTCTCTTTTTCTTTTTTTTTAAACTATTGCTTCATTTTAGTCTATCCTCAGAAAAGGTTGCCCTTTCTGTGTATAAAATTAACTCAACACCCCTGATAGCCTCCTCATATTCTTAATCTCTCACTGAGAGGTGCTCATGTGTAGCCAAAGCCTGAATTAAAAGTGTGGGCTTTAAGCTGGCCCGGGTTGGTTTTTATTCATCTCCCTTCTTGGGCTGATAGCACCCTGTGCTCTCTAAGCCTGCTCATTAACTTGCCTGCTAAGCTGCAGTTGAGGAGGTGATTTGGGCACCTGATACTAAAGTCATTCTGATGAGTGACTAAAGAAAGGAAGGATTGCGGGGCAGTGTGTGTTAATTAACACAGTTAGTTGTTAAAGTAATGTGTTTTGTGGACATAATAATATATGAGAACAATCAGCAGTATCAATATATGGTCATGGTCTACAAATACACGGATCCCATAACTCACAACTTCAAACATAAACCTGAGCAAATTATTTCACAGAAAGCCACTGTCTGACTCTCCATTTCTATTTTTTACTAAATTTTTATTTTTTTTTCCTGTAGAGTGATAACTTGCTGAGTTATTTGACAGTAGAAGAAACACTGACTTACACTGCACAACTTGCCTTGAGGAAACATTCAGCTGAAGCAATAAAGAAAAAGGTATGATACGAGTCGACTTTACACTAATTTTTTCAGAAATTGTTATTATAAAGATTGGTTTTCTGTCTTTGTCACTGTGGTTGGCTTTATATGTTTAAGTCACTGTGCCTGGACCTGTTTCCTGTAGGTGTCTGCAGTGATGGCCGAGCTGAGCCTGACTCATGTGGCCCACAGTGTGATTGGAGGTCGGGTATTTGCTGGGATTTCAGGTGGAGAGCGAAGAAGAGTGTCTATAGCCAGCCAGCTACTGCAGGATCCCAGTAAATATTTCATATAGTTTTCTTACAGCAAATCCAATGCCATTATCATGAGAGCGTACCAAACCGTGATTTCTCAATCACTCAGTAAAATGTTATACATTAATTATAAACCTTTCTGAACTTTTGAGGGGGCAGAAAGGAACAGTGTTGGAACTGGTAGTTTTAAGTCTTAAAGAAAGTTTGGTGTAAAACTGGCTTCTCCCCAAAGAGTCTCAAAAGTCTGGACTGAAGAGAGACAAAGGGATCAGAGCAGGAGATTAATGAAGAAAAACAGCGTAAAGGACAGAGGGAGCGATGGAGAGGAGTAATGAAAGTCTGGGTTATCTCCCACCAAAGAAATAAGCAGGCCCCACCTCAGACCGGATGTGTGCGCTGGCACATCCCAGGTGTAGTTTATCTGCTCTATAATGCTCCCGCGAGGATGAAGGGTCTCGGGCCTCATTCAGGATTAAATGGCCATGGGCACACACACACTCTCCTACACACATAACAGGAGTTACACAAGGAGTAATGAGAACTTCCCATTTGATGCTTCTCCAATCAACCAGGAAATGAATTAATCTCACAATTAAAGCATCTGCTAATTCCACTCCACTTCCATAAAGCAAAGAGACAATCTTTTAATTGTCCTAATTAGAGTAATTACCTAAAATAAGAAGTAGCTTATCTTCACAAGTCAAGTTGGGCCCACTGAGATTCTCCCTATACTTAAAAGTTTCCAGGATGAAACTTAGGAGTCAATTGTGTAAAATAAATAAGTAAAGTTTATGGCGCTGTCACAGAGGTGATCCTGCTGGATGAGCCAACCACAGGCCTGGACAGCATGACAGCCAATCAGATAGTGATGCTACTGGCAGAACTGGCCCGCAGAGACCGCATTGTCATTGTTACTATCCACCAGCCGCGCTCCGAACTTTTCAAAGTTTGTATCCAACATTCAGAGATATATTGAGTTAGAATACAAGCAAGCTTTGTAGAGCTAACTGCTACCATATTGTCCTAGGTCTTCAACAGAATTGCCATAATGAGTTGTGGAGAACTTGTGTTTTGCGGGCAACCTCAAGAGATGGTGGACTTCTTTAGCCAGTGTGGATATGAGTGTCCAGAGTACTGCAACCCTTTTGATATTTACGGTATTTCCTGCAAAGTCAGATACTTTAGATACTTTAATATAGATTATTACGAATAGATTAAAAATACAGTGTAATATATTGAGTTACAGTGGACTTCACCTCTGTGGACACTCGCACCAGTGAAAGAGAAGCAGCCACTCTAAACCGCATGCATGAAATCACCTCAACATATCAGCGGTCTGACATCTACATTAGGATGTTGGAAAACATAGAGCAGAGCTTGCAGCAATCAGACAAACCAGCCATACCCTTCAAAAGCAAAGAGTCACCCAGTGGAGGCGCCAAACTAGAGGTTCTGCTGAGGTAAGTGCTCTCCCTAACAGTAAAGTTTACAAGTAAGTCTAATAAATCTACAGCTGTTTATTCTCATATCAAACAAATACAAAAAAAGATGTCCATTTTGTAATGTTAGTAGTGTAGCTCCAGGTCAAATGCACTGAAATGTTATCTCCAATAGAGAGCCCCCCAATGAGTAATTCTAAAAAGATGTGGTTTTTTCCCTGATGTTACTTAGAACAAAATGTAGTACTTCTTATAACCAAATAAAAATTGTGTGTTATATTAGACGAACAGCAAGAAACCTGTCCAGAAACCGAATGGGAGTCCTGATGCGCTTGTCTCAGAACCTGATCTATGGACTCTTTGTGGCCTTCTTTGTCATGCGTCTGGATGTGGATGTGTCCAAAGGTGCCATCCAGGACCGCATTGGCATCATCTATCAGAGCATCGGGGCATCCCCATACACTGGCATGCTCAACGCTGTAGCTCTCTGTAAGTGCTACACCATCCACCTGTGCAGAATAAACAAGCACATTGGATGAAATGGTACATACATACATACATACATACAGTAACAAGCGATATATAAAATGTAACTCAAAGACACTGATCAAAAAATAGCATAACACAGTAATAACGTGCAATAATTTAAACGTCATGAAAAAGGACTGGACAGACAAAACAAGTAGTGAAGTGCAGTGTGTGGGGGCTGTAGGCTGTGAGGAAAAGGTGAGATTTAAGCTCTTTTTTTAAGGTGTTTAGTGAGTCTGAGTTTCTGATGTGGAGGGGAAGGAAAAATGTTTGTATTATCTATGAGAAATATGGAAACATGCTTGCAAAAGTTTAAATTATATCACGGTGAGAAAGGTAACACATTACTACTGTACAGTTGAGGCATCACCAAAGTAAAAGCAAAAGAAAAGAAAAGGGTATCTATGTAGAGCAAGCTACACCTCTCGCTTCTGTGTAAGAATCTCCCTCAGGACAGATTTTGATTCTATTTTACTACTAACCAAAATAAATGTTTAAAGTCTTGTAAAGTGCCTATATAATACTGTCAAACAATAATACTTAGACACTGTGAGTTGTGTTCAAAATGCTATTAAATATAACTAACTACATATACTGTAAAGCAGATAATCTCTAGTCACCTTGCCAGTTCACAGATAATTTTAGAAAGTATGTTAAAGTTCAGTGAACATAGGTAACTGTTAAAGAAATGTGTGTATGTTATGTGAATGTGTTCAGTTCAATGTTGCAGAAGATCATGACATAATTTTAGCAGCCCATGACTCAAAGTAACCCTCACTTATCATAAATCTAAAGACATAATTAAGATAAGGATATCCTGGTGTAAAATCCTTGGCAAGAGGCCACAGACAAATTATCTTTGTACAAGCTGGCAATATAATATTTCATCTTTGTCTTTTATCGTTTATAGTGATCCATATGAATACCATAGACTGTATAGGTGATGTATAACCATAGCCTTAAACTAAATGGCACTGAAGAGCAGTCAAACCAAACACTTAACTTTACATAAACAGAGAGCAATTATTCTTATCCTGATGTCCTTGACTGTCATAAAATAATAAATAGTTGTAAGTAATTGAGACAAGCAAACAAAGCAAAAATAATTAAAGGCCCCATATTACACAAAATTTGCTTTTGTGAACTTTAAGCCATGTTATAATGTTACCTCTTCAAAAACATACTTGAAGTTGTGTTTTGTTTCATTCACGCATGTTTTAGTAATCCTTTATTATTCTGTCTACATCTCTAAAGATCAAAATGATCTGTTTCACCTTGTGATGTCATGAAGCGATAGTTTTCAAGTTAACAGCTACCTTTTACTTTTAGGTCAGTAGAGCTTGGCAATTTCAGAGGTGAAATGATCCAAATGATTCTAGTGGAGGTGTATGGGGTTTGTTTTGTGTTTGAGAGAAGAACTCAGCCTAAATATGCAGGGTTTGAGTGTTAAACAAGTGTGAATGAAACTAAACACAACTTCAGGTATGTTTTGATGAGGAAACAACATTAAAACATAGCTCAGAAAATAGCATAATATAGACCCTTTAAAGTAATAATGTGCTATAATTTAAACTTCATGAAAAATTACAAAGTATCTACCCCATTTCTTATCTATAGTTCCTGCACTTAGAGCCATAGGAGACCAGGAAAGTCAGGACGGCCTGTACAGCAAATGGCACATGTTTTTGGCCTATGTATTCCACATCCTGCCCTTCAGCATCCTCAGTGTTTGTATTTTCACATCGTTTCTTTATTGGTATGAAATATGTAATGTAACAACAATTTTGTCTAGGTACAATTTAAGCAATTGTTATTTTCAGGACAATTGGAATGCACCCAGACACGCTACGTTTTCTCTGTTATACTGCTGTAGTCCTGGTGCCTCATATTATAGGTAAACTGATGCCAGACTTAGATCTACCTTTTCTATAATGTTAGAAAATAAAATACAAAAATATGTGTGAAAGTAGCTCATAGACATGTGATTCTTCACAGGGGAACTGTTAACAGTTGTGCTGCTTGGAGTGTTTCAAGATCCAAATATGGTCAACACTGGTGTGGCTCTGTTAAATATTGCAGGGATTTCGGTGGGGTCTGGTTTTCTTAGGTATTAATTTGCACATCAACATCCATCTACACAAAATATTTAAGCACACCAACTAGAATTGTTTGCTTTCACAGGAGTACAGAGCAGATGCCACAGGTCTTTCAATGGCTGAGCTACTTGACTTTCCAGAAATACAGCTGTGAACTTCTCATTGTCACTGAGTTTTATGGACTGAATTTCTCATGCAGTAAGTTCTTTTTAATCATTTTAACTTTTGGAAAAAACATTGAATGGAAAAAAATCAGTTTGTCTTTTGTGTTTCAGATGTTTCCCAACCTTTGCCAGGAGCTTGTATGATCAGTCAGGGCGATCAGCTCATTGACCAGGGCTATCCTGGTGCTCTGTCACGTTACACTCTGGACTTCGTCCTCCTCTACTCTTTCCTCCCTGCTTTACTGTTGTTGGGAATGATCAGTTTCAAAATTAGGGACAGGATCATCCGCCACTAATGCCGCTGTAACAAATCTAATGAAAACAAAGTTAGACCAATGTCTTCACATAAATAACATAAACCAATGATAGAGATGACATAAAATGCTTTATTTTTTACATTTTTGATATTTGTACAAATAAATGATTGTCAAGATAACAATAATAATAAATAAAAGAATTTGATAAACAGCAGTCTTTTGTTTGTTAGGACTCCAGGTCAAGTCCTTTCCATGATTTAGCTGCATTTCTTTTGTATTGCTCTAGTTCCTAAAATCAAAACAAAAGAGCGAAAGTAAATAAGAGAAATACATAATGATAATTAGGCCTATATAACATGTATTAAATGCACAACTATATATATTTGCAGAAAAATGAATAGTTTTATATGACATACATATGAAATACAATTACAAATATATTAAGATTTAAATTTTCTCATCTGTAATGATTTTGCATTGAGTAAAGAACTCTGCTCAAGTAAAAATATGTTTGTATTATGTCTGTCCCAGGTTACTGTAGGTTATTCCAGCTCTTCTGGCAGGGTCAGTAGGAGAAAGGGCAAATGGAAGTGATATGATAAGCTCAATTTATAGGGCGGTGACAACAGCACAGACACTCTGTGTCATGAAGCATGTGTAGTCCAAACTTCATTAAACTTAGAAAGAGGTCAGCCCAGTTTTAAAACCCTGAATCAGTCACCACGGTAACTTAACCTGGTCCAGAGCCAGTTTTATTCCTCTAACTCTGCTCCTGAAAGAAAGCTCTGATTGTTTTGTAAATGTATAATATAGCAAAACTCACTGCTTATTATAAGTTAAATTAGTTTGGCCTTATCAGTTTCATGTCATGCAAATTGAATGTAGTTCATGTAGTTTGTTACTGTATTCCAAATGATCAAATATGTATCACACTTAAGTGCAACATGTGCAAAGTGATGGTTTGTAAAATTATTAATTATTAAGTTTTAAAATAGTATTTAATGAGCTACAAAAGTACACGTGTACAAATGACAAACAACAAAATAATTTTGTTTTATTGCATCATACTAATTAAAGTGTTACTAAACATCCCATTTTAATACCAAACCTGAACTTAGCCTGTCTACAGTCACATGGCTTCCTCTAGTTTATTGATGCCATGATGATTCTGGGATCCATTGATAGTAAACACTGAATTTAGCAGAAGACACAAGACTATCCCTGAGTTTTCTAAGTCCAAACCTGTTTTGCGAAACAGAAAACTCTGAGTTGTCCATCTCAGGAAAGATTAACCCTGAGTTAACTCTTAACCCTAGGGTTTATTGAACCTTCTTTGTGAAAGTGTATACTGAATGTAATATGCTATAACATACAAAGTGTAGAATACAATAGTCCATATATTTTATTATTATACTTGTTAATACTGTTATTGTTTCATACTTATGGAATGGCATGCTTGAATGAGTATTTATGAAAATACAGTTTACCTGGTCTTTTTGTGCTCTCATAGCATCAATCTGAGGCTCACTGTACTGGGGGTCCTTGGCTGGATCCTTCAGTTCCCTTTGTTCACTGACGGTCTAAAATAAACATGACAGTGGGATTCTTAAAAACCTCTTGTAGACTATAAATTAACTTTTTTTACCTCTTGAGGGAAGATGCACTCATAAACTTTCTTCCAAAGGTCTTTAGGGTTTTTTGCATGTAGTGAGGTCACATCAGAAGTTGGGGGTGTGCCTGTTTAATATTTCATCATATTTTCTGGGATTATTAATTTACAACATAACACCTGAGTCAGTTCCAGCTGTAACCACATGGTTGTGCTGTGCTCACCTATTTGGCTAAAAGAATCAGCACCAGCAGGAATAATGAGAGGTTTGCTGGAATCTGTAGACACTGTTTTTCTGAGGACATAAGGACAACAAGACGAGTGAAGTTTTGTGGCTATTCTTTGCATCTGAGACACTGTGAGTGTTTTGTCCTCACCCTTTGTCCACTCCAAATGCAAAATGGGAGAAAAATACTTTAGTTTTAGACATCAAACTCTCTGACTTGATGCTGGTAAACTGATAAAAAATAGGAAGAAAATCATATGTCAAAAGCTTGAAAAGAATGACACAATGTACAATAATCGTGAGGTAAACTTACAATTAGGGATGCTGCATAGTAGTGAGCAATAAAGCGAAGTGTCTTACTAATCAACTTCTTTTTATCAGAATCAAACTCCTGTAACACAATTTTATACAATAATACCCACTATTCTAAAGAGCATTTAAACAAAGGTGCTATACCTGGAACATGTCATATTTACTGCCAATAATCAGAAGAGGAACAGGAAAAGGATTGATGAGCTCTCTGTCCTTGTAAAAAAGAAAAAAAGAAAAAAAAAAACAATCCAACCACACAAATATGTTTTATCCTTCTCATTATTAGTCATTATTATCTCTTACGGGATAGTCTTTAGGCAGGATATGCATCTGCTGGACAGTCTGTTTACTGTTGGACATTTGCTGTGCCTGGTGAAAAGCCTTTTTGGTCTGCTCTTGTGCTGCTTGCAACAATCGTTCCATTGTTCCCCACAAACAACTGGGTTTTGACAGATCAAGGACAAGGATAACAGAAAGAGACCTAGAATGAAATAATAGACAACACACGTAATAAGCACATAAAACTCCATCTTTAACCACAAGTGAGTCATCAAATACCAACCTGATGCTAGAAGGAATGATGGGGATCTGTACAAGATCTGACAGAGAAATCCCACCACCCAGCTCCCACAAGTGAGCAATATCTTTAAACTGGGGATAAAAAAATATGTAAAGATGATAAATGTTTTCAGCAACTCAAATAAATTCTTAACACATACCAAATAAACATCATCATTACTATTAGTTACTCACTGTGTTGTGTCCTCTAGTGCGCCGACCATAACTGTACTCTAAAGCCAAAGTGGGTCTAGGAGGTTCATCTCTAAAAAGTAACAAGAAACATCACTGTCATTATCCAAGATTAATTTTCTCGAGGGAAGATAACATATCCTTATATTATATTCTATAGACCTAATTGTACATTGAGACAAGGAAGGGTTAAAATACTCATAATGTTATATTATTGTAACATTAATATCATGAAACTTGTCATTAATATATTAACACTTGCAATATGTTATCTGTTTCAGGATATCGTTTATGGACAACAAATACTTACTTGTCAAGGCAGCGGTAGAGAATAGAGGTCTTTCCCTATTAGACAGAGAAGGGCATTCAGACTAACAAAACCAGCGCAAGCACAGTAATTTAAAATATACAAGACATACCCCGGCCTTGCTGCCAATCAGAAACACAGTCCGTTCGCTCGGTTCTATACTTCGATCCTCTTCCCCGACGCCACTTTGACGCTGTTGAACATCGGCGGCAGCAAACTCCCACAAGGTCTCAGATCTGACAAACACAAGGAAGAAACTTACATAAATAACTGTAATAAAGACCTAGGCCCTTTCTGTTAATCGACAAAAGTCTCACATTATTTTCGGCATCGCATATTTTTGTTTATGTGCTACCAAGAAAACGTTAGCCTGTATGCTAATCCCAATCTCACACGTTACCAGAGCAACGTCGGCGTCTTTTGATGACGATTTACCGAGGTTTCGTGGGAGACGTAGTATTATTTATTTTTTCATTTAATCACATATATTTGATGCATTAGGGGGTTTTAATTTTATTCTGAGATGTAATTATAGCATTGATAGGCTTTCAATTCAACTTTGTAACTTTTCAATAACAGCTACTGTTATGTTGGATTGTTGTATACAAGCACAACTTCTCACCACAAAAATATTACATATGGAATAGCAAAGATATATGGGGTATCATCTATGTACACTAAGGCATCACCTGTTTCTACAGCGAGTTTCTCAATGTTTACAATTTTCCAGTAATGCCAAAAGAATATGCAATAGTTTTTGACGCCATTCCTTCTGGAGTGAAAATGCTGATGTCCACTTATGTACATATTTCTAGTGATGACTCAACTAAAACAGAGCTGTTTATTGGTAACTCTGGCCCGTTTTTAAGCTTTAAAACATATAACAAATGTATAAGAGAACTTATCACAAGAGAATCTATTGGTAAACCATATTCTGTTTTTGTCTGGAATAATACATTTACGGACATTAACTGGAATGATGTTTGGCTTTTGCCTAGAAAATATTTTGGAATTAATAAGACTCGTGAGGTCTGCCTGAAAATCCTGAATAGATGTTACCCTGTTAACGCTGGTATCTCAAAATTTCGTTTAAACATAAATCATCATCGCTCATTCTGTCACAGCGTTGAAGAAACGGTCACCCATATGTTTTGGGAATGCAAATCTTTTGGAATGACATATTTTTGTTAGTGAATAGAAAGCTTGATACAAACCTACAATTTAATATAAATCATGTTCTCTTTGGTCACTTTGAGAAAGATATTCCTGCCAAAAAAATGTATATGTTGAACTTAATCCTAATCCTATCAAAATTTCATATTCATTGCTGTAAATTTTGTAGTCAGAAACCCAAATTTGTTGTGTTTCAGTCCCTCTTGTCCTCTTATATAAATTCTCTAAATTACTGCACAAATCTCAAAGCCTTGAAGACAAAAGCACTTTGTATGGAAATTGAAATTGAAATGGAGATATGAATGTATTTACTTGCTTTTCTACATTTGTACATGTATATCAATATATTTTCACGGTGATGCATATATGTGTTATTAATGAAGATGTTGAGCTTATTGAGCCCTGTGAGCATATGAACTCTTAAGCCTCCAGCAATGTTTTTGTTTATACCATTGTATATTACATTGAATATTTAAAAAAAAAAACAAAAAAAAAAAAAGATTATTTATTTTTATGCATTTATTATTATTTATTGAAGGAACATTTTTCAGGTGGCTACTGGTGAATTCACCTGCCTTTAATCAAAAATATTAATTTATATTTTACAGTAATATGAAATATGTGATGTCTGAAATAGGCTGAACGCAGGTGGAGGAGTTGCACTCTAGTGGACAATAACATATATGAGAAAATATTCCAAAATATGAAAACTGCTGTTGACAACCTACTAGAGTGTGACACTGTCGTCTGCAGTGATGCAGTCGCTGGATCAGACTGTATGTTGTGATGAAGGAGCTGAGTTGAAAAGCAAAGCTCTTGATTTAGTGGTCAATATACATTCCAACTCTCATCTATGGTCATGAGTTTGGGTAATGACTGAAAGGACAAGATCAGGTATACAAGTGATAGAAATTAGTTTCCTCCACAGGAAAGCTCAGAGCTTGGAGCAGAGTTGTTTCTCCACATCGAGAGGAGCCAGATGAGATGGCTTGGGCATCGGCAGTCTTTCAATATATGGAATATTTGTATTTTTATAGGGTTAGAAATTGTAGAGATGTCAAAGCAAAGACAACAGGAAAACATGGATTGTGAAATGAAAGAAGATTCTCCATGTTGGGTATTAAAAGTGCACTACATTACCTTTCTAGTGGGAATCTTCCACTGTATGGCAGTAATCTTTCAGTGAATAGGGTCACATTTTCACAGATCTGACCTGTAACTTGGCTTGCTGTGTCACCTGCTTGTTTCCATCTCATAACAAAATGAAGAGGTGTATTGTATGAGTTGCAACTTCTTGTACATGTTAGGAGACATGGCAAAAGGGTATAATAATAAACATTTTTTTAAGATGAAAATACAAATGTGTTTTTTTTTTAACAGAAAATGTCAGAAAAGTTAAGATGAGCAAAGATTGATTCTGTAAATTACAAAAGCATTTAGGACATCTGAAATGTAGCCTGTAAAGTAAACAATAAATATAATATATTTAAATTACATGAGAAGATCATTATTCTATACATTAATATTTCATTCCATCAAGATTTTTTCCGGGGCTGGTCACAATAAGGAACATTTTCTAATAAAAGACTTTCTCTTGGGCGAAGCACTGAAGAAGAAGAAAAAAAAAGGGAATTAAAAATTAAGAATCATCATTATATTATAGTTTTTAAAATGCAAGAGAAAAAAATAATTCAGACTCACTAAGTGTGTCATTTGATACATGTTCCATCTGGATAACAGCATCTCTCAGAACAATTTCCACATCTGAACCCATTTTAATCATCTTTACAGAAAAAAAGAGACATCTTCTGAATAAGCACACACATCTATACATTTACCACTTGTGAAGATGTAAACAGCTTGATACCTTTTGAATGTTCTCCTCTGAAGTTTCATTTTTGTTTTTGCGAAATTCTTCATTGATTTTTAATCTGGCAGCTATTCAAAACAAATGTCACAGTAAGGTTGCAGTTGATGAATGCTGATAAATGCTTCATTCTGCTTACACAAAGTACTCACCTGTTAAGGCTGAATGGTCATCTTTGAACACTTCTTGTCTTGTTCTGTGCAATGCTTTAAATACCCTCAAGACCTGCATTATTAGACATGAACAGGGAAATGTCATAATGATTGGAGCATTGTCAGTGCAGTTTAGATACCCTACTAATTTAATAATACAGAATCAGGGGCGACACTTGCAATGTTAAGTAGCGTATATAACCCAGAAAATGCATGTTATGAACCCCAAAACATAAAAAGCCACACGCTCACCTTCACACGAGTGCCCATGTTGACTTCTGTTGATCCCTTCCGGAGAGGAGGACGTACGCTGACGCACGTTGAACCAATGAGCTTTGATGTTGCAGTTCCGGGCCTTTCCACCCAATGGGGTTTTTCTTTGAGGTAACACAAGATTCTGCGACAGGAGTGTTCGGTCTGCGCCAACATGGCTGATGAAATAACGAAAGCGCAGACTGCTAAACCGAGTGGGGATACAATATTTGGGAAAATTATTCGAAAAGAGATTCCTGCGACTTTTCTCTATGAGGACGATCAGGTAGCTATAAATAACTTAACTCTTGCTAAAGTAGATATGCTTTCAGCTTTATAACGTCTACTAGTGCTGCACCCCTCCCGTGCTGAACTTGAGGCGTGCAAATACCCTTATTTGCACCAACTGACTTCCTCCGTGCAAATAAAGACATGGAGAATTTTTAATATAGGCCTACTTGGCAATTATTTTATATTTATGATTTCGCTGTGGTCTAACGTCCTGTTTCCGGTGTTGTGTGTTCTCTTCAAATACTCAATAGATTGTGAACTGCATTCTTTTATAATTACATAATAGGTCACTGGTCAAAGCACTTTGATGTGCAGTGATAAACTGCAAATATGTTTACTGTTTAAACTTACATTTATTTCTGTCTGCATTGCAGTGTGTAGCCTTCAATGATGTTGCACCTCAGGCTCCTGTCCACATCCTTGTTGTCCCAAAGAAACCCATTGTTCAACTTTCAAAAGCTGAGGAGAGTGATAGTGCAGTAAGTGTGCATGCCACATTACACATATTCTTCACCTTTGATCTGTTCTGCTTTATAGTATTCTGCCAATAACAATATGTTCTCTTCCAGCTGCTGGGTCATTTGATGATTGTTGCAAAAAAGTGTGCCGAGCAGGCAGGTCTGTCTAAAGGCTACAGGATTGTTATCAACGATGGCTCTGATGGAGGCCAGTCGGTCTACCACATCCATATTCATATTCTGGGGGGTCGACAGATGAGCTGGCCCCCAGGCTAAGGCCCCACTCTGTAATCTTCATGTCTGTCCTGTGAGACAATAGATGTAATTGGAATAATATGCACTAATCCACAAGTTTACTGTTGTAACTGCCACCAAAAAGTGTTGAATAAATTTGAAGAAACAAGTGAATGACTCTGTTTTATTAACAGTAAGAAACAATGCTGAAGGTTAACAATATAAAATACATAAGACATACATCAAATATTAAACAAAAATAAATAAAATATATTTTTAAAAATTGTTACAAAATGACAAAACAACACTGAATAGGTGAGACAAATGTACCTTGTATTCACAGTTCTCCAATTTACTCTTTTCTGTAATTAAAATAGATCTAATAAGCTGATATCAACCAGAGAAAACATTTAACATGGCTACCCAGACATGTAAAAAAAAAAAGTGCAAATAAGTTTAAAAATATTTACCAATGCCCTTTTGTCAATATCTTGGCACTTAGAGGCATTGAGGAAAAAAAAAAACTTGTACAGTACACTTGGGGGGGAAGGTTAACATACCAGGGTACCAATTTACTACTGTAGCATCTAACTATACAAATTTAAGTCTAGAACAATAACTAGGTTGAGGGGTATAGAAAATAGTTTGTCAAAAGAAGACATGAAGAAGCAGCATTGAGAGGTGTTAACTGTAATTCAAATAACCAAAAAAATATATAATAATTGGGGTGAATACCCTTCATCTGATATAATGAAAACTGTAGACAAGTGGTTTTGAAAGTGTATGAGGCCCAAATGATTTTTGATGCAGTTCAACTGTAACATTAAGCACAATGCTTTGGTGTTTTTTTCTGACAGTTAAAAGTAGTTGCCATAATGGATAATGCACTTAAAACATTAGACACAAAGAAACCTTCAGGATAAAAAAAAAAACACAGTTTAAGGAGGCATAGTCATATTTTAACAGGACCAAGTTGAGAGCTGTAGGCCACAAAATGTTAAAAAAATAAAAACGTCAGAATGTGTGTTAAGGCTTTTATGCCATAGGCAAGTAGACTCTGCATGAAACATGAACCTTAAACTGTTGTAATGTTTTAAATCGTTGTTTTTCTCTGACATTCTTTGTTATACACTACTATATAATGTAAAGGGAAGTGGAAAAGCCATAAGCCAAAAACTAGTTTAAGGCATGTCATTCAAAGAAAGGGTCCAGACACTCTGAAAAGGCAAGAAAAGATAATACAGTTGACCAAAATATACAAGGAAAAACAAAACAAAACTGAGGGTAGTGGTAAGTCCAAAAGTAATTATCATTAGTGAAGAGTGCATGGATTCAATAGTTGCAGCCATTACCTACGAATTAAAGGCAAGCAGAAATGAATGGCAAATCAATCTGGCATTAACGCTTGGCTACATTATAGGCTACACACATTAAAAGGAATTGGATGTGGATACTTCAGTTTAGTTGTTTAACTACTTCTGAATAAACCATGTAGTCCCATTTTGTATTTTTACTTCTGTGCAATGGCCTCTTCGCCATTTGGCCGCATACGACTGAATGGCAGCGCACCAACACCTGTTAATCCCAGGCTCAAACCTGTTTCCTCACAGTTAGCAGAAGAACCCTTAACTCTGGTGGAGGTGGTCATTGTCCCTGGCCCTGGAAGTATTTCAGGCAAAGTTTCTTTGGCGGGCGGCTGGGGTCCAGGGCCGATGGTGGAGGAGGTGGGTGTTTTGACACTCAGTGGCTTGGTTGGGGTTGTGGGGCTGGTCAATCCAAGACTTGCCAGAGCATCAAGAGTCCCATCTGGATCTACCATCACATTGATAACTAAAGAATAGAGAATAGATCAAATTAAGCACACAATATAAGCTTTATGTGTATAATGAGACAAATATAGTATAAGTAGTGATGGGAAAAATAGTTTGATAACGTATTTAGTGAATACATGCATTAAAATATATTTTGTAACATATTTTGATCCAATCAGAGTACTGTATTCTGAAGATTAAGAATACTTTCACGTGGGGTTTCATTAAAATTTTAGTGTAAAGACACAACTTAGTATTAAAAACAGCTTTATATTTTTAACTATTTGTTATGCAAAAAACACTATAGATGTACATGCTATAAGAGCAGTGTTTCCTATTTTTTTCTCTCTAATTTGGTACAGTTTGAAGCCTAAATATTGTGATCAGTGTTCAGAATATGTATTCTTGGTACATGTATTCAGTTACTTATAATCAATGAGTCTCAGTTATAGTTATACCACACCTTGAAGCTGCTTCTCAACTCTCTTAAGTTCAAGCAGAATGGCAGAAAACTCCTGAGAAAACAAAATAAATTGATTATATATCAATTTATGCCTTCTTCATGTCTATAGTGAAATCTCAATGTCCAGACCTTATTTGAGGATTTCAGGACTGGTACTTCACTTTCCGACTTCAATTTACTCTCGATTTCTTCCCAGTTTCTGTCTTTATCTTTGAACAATATCCTAAAGAAAAACAAATTTAAACCATGCACTGTCTTATATCAGTTGTACTAGTATAGTAGGCAGGCAAGAATTTAAAAGGTAGAATATGATCTTTAACTGTCAATTTATAACTATTTTACCCTACTTTATGGTTATCTCTGTAAATATGGGACCAATCCTTGAAACAAAAACTGGCACAAAGTTTTTTAATCAGTTCTCAGTCAGCTCAAATTAACTAAGGTTAAATTATTCTTTTTGTTTGATGCAAAATGGTGGCATTATTTAAACACAAAATTAATATACTGTCCCTAACAACAGGGATAAAGGTTCAACATTTGCATTATTTAAGTTTGGATATTTCTCCCAGAATTGAAATACCCGTGCCCTCCATCTAAAATATAGAAATAATTCTGCAGTTACCTGATCTTTCCAGCTGTTTTGTCAACAGATTGTCTGATTTTGGTGGAAAGTTGAGAAACTGATGTAATGAGCAAACTGTCCAAAATTGCCTGAATGAACCAACAAAAACAAACATTTAAAATATCATATTATTAACTATTATATTTGTAAATGTTGGTGTAGTCTTACATCCTCTCGGTTCCAGGTGCGCCTTCGTAAAGCCCGTGGTTCTAGACTGTCAGGAGCCCGGGGCCGGTGCTCTACAGGCTTCCCATTGATCTCTGGAGGTTTATTAGTTGAGATAACAGGAGGAATCTTCCTGAAGTTAAGGCTCTCATCAAACACACGATCAACCAACTGAAAAAAGGCATTGTAATTAGTATAAAACCAATTTACATATTGCTTTTTAAAAAAATGTTATGAATAGCAAGGTTTTCAGTCATGGTTAGCAAAAAACCAAAACAAAAAGTAGGCAAAAGAGAAAAATCAAGCTGACAGTCTCGTGTTGATGTGGGAAAATAGCAATGGAGTGCCTTTTGTGACTGAGCAGAATGAAGCAGAAGAGAGAAGAAGGGGCACCTGTTTCATGCTCTCCTGTATGTCCAGCTGCGTAGGGCGTGCAGAGCCTACCTCTTCTCTAGTGTCGATGGCAGATCCTGGTGTAGTGGCAGCTGTGCTCACTGTGGTGCTGGGGGCAGTGCCAGAGGAACTGACAGAATCGATCTCACCCGCAACGTCATGGATCTCACGAGCTAAAATGGCCAGGTCCTTAGCCAGGTCCTGGCTGATCCTGCGTACACAGGGGAACAACCTGTTCAGCATTACACAGGGTCCTTTAGAATTCAGGTAGAAACAAACATGCAACATGCATACATTTATTATTTTAAACTTATATATTCATATTGATATATTGTATATAATATTTGTATATTATTATAAAAGCTAAACATTTATGGCCTCACTTATATCCATTTTAAAATTATGACCATTTATCTCTTAAATCATGCACTGATAACAGATATTTGATATAAATAAGTAGATCAATACCTGGCTATCTCTTCACTGTGTGCCGTCCAGTCCTTAATGTATTCTTCTTGCTCTTTCATGCGATGTTTCATCACTCCACTTGACCCTGTCACCATACTGGACACTGGACTTGCAGTGCTGAGTTTTGTGCTGCGATGTGACACCAGGTGATGGGGGCGTACATGTGAGCGTCCTCCATGTTTAGGAGAATTTCTGGACGAGCCAAACTCTTCTTCTGACGTGGAGCCATACTTCTGGAGGTAAGCGCCTCCATCGACTGCTGCTGGCCACTGAAATGTAAAAATGGAGATTAGGCTCATGCATGTGGTTTTCGTAGAATTGAATAATATTAGTATGTTTTTCATCAAATACAAAATGTTACTCTGCCAGCCCAAAGCAAATTATTAGTTAAAAGACTTTGTTATGACAAAATCACTATTACTATATAACAAGAGTGAAAGAAAGTATGGTTATTAAAAAATAATAATAATAAATAAATCAAACACCTATCCTATTTGCCAGGCAGTAGCAAACCATGTTAAAGCTGCGTTTGAAATAGCCATAATGATAAACCCACAGTAAAAACAACAAAAAAGTCCTTGGTCTGCCCACAAGGTGGAGCAGTGCATCACCAAGTGAGACTGGTCACAGCTAGATGGTGAATGATCTGCATCAAAACTACTTCAGCTTTGTTGAAGTAATTTCAACCTCATTTTATTTGCATTTTAAATGCATATTCTGTTATATTTCTTTATCCAATAAATTGGTTACTTAATTGATTATCTGGTAACTTTATGTCAATACATTTTCTACAAACAAGTTTTGACAGTAGTGAACTATCAAATTGAAAAGTGGCATATAATGAGTTATATCCTATTCTAGGACAGGACAATTGCATACTTTTATGTTTATTAACCCTTAATACCCTTAGTTTTTTTGTGCTACAACTTTCCCCCTCTTTACAGCATATTAATTAACAGTTTGTATTTTCTTTATTAAACACCATATTAATTATGAACACACCCCATATTTAATTAAAATACAGGAGAGGTTAAAATGTGTAGTTACATCTAAAAACCCAAAGCCAATTCTAATTTGAACAGTTTTTGCAGGTGTGACAAGCTATGTTGTGTGACTGTTTAGAGATCTGACACACAAATGCCACAAATCTATTGTACTGTACCCAGCACTTCCTCTTCTGCAGTCCAGCCCTCATGACTGGGCTGAAAGCTTTCTATGTAAGGAGAAACCACAAATTCAGCATAAAACAACATAAATATTTAGATTATGATGAAATAACATAGACTGACTTATGATATTCTTGTTACACATTTGCTATGTGTTTGCTCACCTGTGGGTGAACAGTATCCAGCTGTAATTGGTTTAGTCTTGGTCTCATTCAATTTGGACACACTGTTGGCTCTCATTCTGGGTGTTAACTTATTTTCTGTGGGTGTTGAAGAGCGTAAACCCAGGCGCAGGGCAGTCTCATTGGTCATTCGCGGTGAAGAGGCACTGTTTCGGGCTACCGTACATTCAGAGTCACTGCGGGCCGAAATGGAGCCCACACGATTCCTTCGAGGCTGCGCCAACATGTCCAGCCGAGACAGCCCCTTTCGACCAGAGGGAGGTTTGGAGGTGGAGCTGGTAGTGGACACCTCAGATGCTACGGACACTCTGTCTGCATCAGCCAGGTCTGTGTCTGATGTGTCCCCCAACCGGGCACGACGGAGCAGGGAGGCTCTCGTGGGCCGAGGCTGAGGCAGTGAGCCCTGCTTGTTCACAGCAGAAGTTGGAGCTCCTGGCACACTGCGACTTGCTTTTGAAGAACTGCCTATAGGAGTTTTACTGGATTTGGTATCAAGTTTACAGACACTGTCCTCTGTCTGCCCACGTCTGTGTAATGAGTGTCCAAAGCTAGGGCCAGAATAAGTCTCCTGGTCTGAGGAGAGAATATCGGAGATAGGGAATGAGGATGTCTGATCATCATCGGTGAGGTCTAAAGAGGGCTGGCGAGCTTTGGAGGCAGGGGATGGCTGGACAGACCGTCGTGTAGATGTATCCACTGGTCTGGTTTTTGTCTTTTTCTCTAGGCGTTCCCGGGCACTGGCATTAGTGACACTGGTCCTGGAGGACGTACTCATGTTACTCTTCTCTCTGTGCATACTGCTGAGAGAGCGACGCTTTTGCACACCACCCGTTCCCGTCCTCCGTTCACCCTCTCCTGCCACATGACTGGCAGTACTGGCTGTGTCCACATCTGACTCAGGAGACAGAGAGTCTGTGCGTTTGGGTAAGCCTGGGCCTAATCCCTGGACGCTCTTTCCACTTTTAGTGTTTTTCTGGTCTGTTTTATTTTCGTCTCTTAGTTTGGCCTCTAAAAATGCCATTACAGCCTCTGTGTCCTTCAGGAGCGTGGCAGTGTCCATGCTGCCCACAGAGTCACTGCGGTCTCGTCCAACAGCACCTCTGTTGATTCGCGGGATGAGCTCCGTGGGCACGGTGCCACTGGGCTTCTCTATAGTGAAGCTTCCCTGGCGCACAAGAGCCTTTCCTGTTTCAGCCCCACCCCCTTTCCTCTCTGCGGACCGTATCCTCCTCTCTGTGCTGCTGGAGCTGCGTGTGTGAGCTTTGGATGGAGAGGACATTGAGCCTTGTTTACTTTTACTGACCACCTCTCCATTCTCCATGGGATACTCTCCTTTGTTCCCCTTTTCGGGGGGCTCAATGTCCTGTTTCTCCCCAATTTCAGACCTCACTCCCACTTTGGATCTGCTCAACAGGTCATCCACAGGAAGCTGGGGAAGTGTTCTGCGCTTGTCATTCGAGCTGTTGGAGGATTCATCTTTGCTGAATGGTGCCCCTGACTCAGTTGCATCTGCTCCTGGAAATAGGTAGAGTGAAATAATTTGTCGCCATTTACAAATTCAGTAGTAAAGAAATATTACACATTACCTCTTTCTTTATGCAAATAGGTTCCGGTCTCTGCTCCTGAGCCCTCAGGATCAGTTCTGGTGTGATTGGCGGCCAAGCTGGCCCATTGAGAGACCCAGCTTGAGTCGTCTGCTGCAGCCTACAAGTGCAAATAAAACATAGCAATAAGTAAAAGGTAGGAAAAAGAACAATACTGTTAAAAACTATAGAATCTCTTTTGACGAATATTTAGTTTGGAAGATTTTTTTAGAAAATTAACACATACATTTAAATTTTCTGTTCAAAACACTGTAATTAAGAGAGACAACATTAAAATCTTTGCTTAATAATTACATTTTCCTTTTATGTGGATATTACAGGAAAATGCCTCAAGGGCGGAGTGTGTTTCTCTTCATGTGGCATGATCTAGGTCAACCTCAGATAGTAAAGACCATTCCACTCACAAGAACTGGGTTGGGAATTAGTTCAATCAATCCATGACAGTGACGGCTCAAATAATAGCTGTACCACTGTACCACTATGGCAAAAATGCACAACTAATAAACTAACTTTAAAAAGAAATCTAGCATTTTGTGTAGACTGTTCCTCCTTTACCTCCTTTGTGGTTTTGGCTGTTTCTTTGCCTTCCTGGGCTTCTTGCTGAGTACTGGAGCTCTGGTCCTGCTGCACACCAAACACCTGCACACATTTCAATAAATTATCATAATGTGACACCAATCTGGACTTTATGAAGACACAAATAATTAGATAGGCAAAAGAGAAATTTGGACAAATAACTCAAGCGTACAATGTGCCATATGAATGAATGTCATGGTAACAAACTGCTCTCAAAGTACATGGGCAAGAAGTGGAATTATAGTGTCAGCTAATTATAGGAATTAACATAACAACAACTCCCAGAATGGGAAGTAATGCACATGGACTGAAGTAGAGCTTGAATACAAAATAGCACACAGACACAGCAATTACTAGACTGTCCCAATGATGGAACAATAAGTAAACAGACCTGTTTTTGTATGATTTTTACAGGCATACTGCTACTGTTGACAGTGTCTTTCTTTCTAATTGTTTCATTTACTTAATATCCTGAATCACTTTTAATGCAGCCTACGCTCAAACACAAACACGGTGTCTATTTTTCTCCATCTATTGCTCCTGTTATCTAGTGCATTTTGAGTGAAAAATCATATTTCTTTTACCATATTCGATAGCCACCATCATATGATAGCAGTGTAGGGTAAAATACTTTGAAAATGTATTTAGTTACAGAATACGGTATCTCTGCATTAGAATGTATTTTATAATACTGATACGTGGTCCAATCAGAGTACAGTATTCTGAATGCTTATAATACTTTTACATGGAGTTGCATTTAAATTGTAGCATAAACAGGCAACATAGGATTAAAATAGCTTTAGTTTCACTGTCACACATGATCCCACCACAATAGCAGTGGGCTATATTTTTTTCTCAGCAATTCTGTGTAGTTTGAAGCCTAAACGGTGATAGATCAAGTAGTGCATATATTGCTTTGATTTTTAGAAAAGTAACTGTATTCTGAATACCACCAAATGTGTATTCTGATATGTATTCAGTTACTTCCCAACACTGTATGATATCCTATTATATTATACCATGTAAAAAATGGAGGGAGGAGAGTGTAAGTGCAAGTGAAACTCCCTGAAGCATATGTTTATAAAGGGCAATACTTGATGGAAAAAGTGTCTTTGGGCTAAAGTAAAAGCATTATGGTTTGTCAGTCAACAGTGAGCAGCCTCATAGGCCTTACTAACAATGAAAAGGCCATATTTATAGGGAATAAAACATAGTTTACTAATGTTTAACAATTGAATCATGTAAATAGATACTGTATAAGAACATACCTTATCTATCATGCGCCTGGCCTCTTCCTCTTCTGGGTTCTTGTTTTCCAGCTCAATAGTGTATGTCCCCTTATCACTGTGGTCATCGTCAGCTGCCCCAGTGGTCTCTGCTTCTCTGCCTGCAGTGGAGGTGTCTTCACTGGGGCTAGTGGGGCTCCCTGTTGCTAGCCCGGTGCTGGCTGTACTCTTGATACTTGGATCTTCTGACCTTTGCTTGAGAAGGACACGTGCAGCATTGGGTGCACCCGCTGTCACTGTTGCTGGAATTGGAGCAGGGACTTTACCTAAAGATATAACAACATAGATTCAGCATACAGATTCAGGTACAGTTTGTACAAGTTGTCAGCCAAAATATCAAAGCACATTTATTTTTATTTTAGTGATTACGGCAATGGCTATTACTACTTGAGTCCACAATGTAGGAGCATATGTTGTCTTACACACACATCAAAAACAATACCTGCATCTGAGGCTGTTGTTGCCGAGGTGGATATGCTGAACACCTTTGGATGAGCAGGGGGGTGTGGATAAAGACCCTCTGCACCTGGCCCTCCTGCTAAAAGAGGTGCAGTTTGGGAAAAAGAATAGGACCGTCTCTTTCGAGGGTTTTCCTCATCATATAACTCGATCATAAAAGCAGTGCGGGTCCCAGATGTCCGAGATCCGCAAACATTCAAACTTCCTGTTCCCCCTGCTCCGGATTGGCTGTGAGCAGCTTTTAGCCTTTCTTCCAGTGCATGGCGACGGCTAGCAAAACGCAGGCCAAGTCCATTTTCAGAGTCACTTTGGGTACCGTCCTCATGCTTGCTGCCTACATGAAGAGAAACCATGTAAAGTGTCATTGACCTGTATGTTTACACAAGTTCCTTTGGCAAATATTATCTAGGTCACAATTCAAAAGGACATAGGAAAGGTAAAGTGATAACAAGGCACTGACTGATCCCATCAAAAAGTGAATTCAAACTTATTTAATAATGCCAAATACCATTTTAAGAAACTAATCTCTCATACTGTACCCATGAGCTGGAAAACAAGTGTGTAATATTACAGTACAATTTGCAATACAATATATCACACATGAATAGCACCAAGAACCACATCAAACCAACTAAACTACAATAACTAAGAATACCTCTTTGTGAAAACAACATTATCCAGGTTGTATTCTCATCTTCCAACTGGCTAGCCAAATGATGGTTATTTCTGCAGTTTATTGCATCTGGCTCCAATGGACATATCCTCTTAGGACTGTGCAGTGGCAGACAGTGTACCACGCTAATCCAGACATGCCACCCACATGCTCACTAGCCCAGCCTACTTCACTCATTGAGGGGGAGGGGATGAGGATACAGCAGGTTGTATAAAGGAAGAGATGGGTCTTTACTAATGGAAGACGATGAATGAATGAAAGAAAAGAGGACTGAGTCAAAAGCAACTCAGAAATAGAAAAAAATGGTCCTGTAGTATATTTTACCAGAAGTGAATTTTAAAGCCAAAAATCTGCTTTTGAGGCTTCATAAAAACCTACAAATCCCACAACAGAGATTTTCAAACTTCCAATATCTATATCATTAGGACAATAAAGTGATGTTTTAGATGCACACATAGGGATGTGATCCTCCCTGTGTTGAACAAAGACCCTGTTTCCAGAGGCATAATAGAGAACAGTGAGCACTCTGTGACGGACCGGTCCTCTCTCCTGTTAGTGCTGCCAGGACACAGAATAGAAGGAAATGCAACCACATGCACATGCAAACACATATTTAGAAAGCAGTTACACTATTTTTTTTACTTAAACACAAAAATCTAAACAAATTTCCAATTAACTTCTTCTACCACAAATTCTGCTGATTAAAGTCTAGCATAAAAGACCCAGCACACATCTCATTACAGTTACATCTGGAGTGTCAAACAATAATAATAATAATCAACAATCGCACTCACCCTGAATGTCTCATAAACATCTTGCACATATTCTGAAATCTTCAAATACAGATGCTCAGAGCAGTATTTAAAAGTACACATTTGCATATTATTGTCTGTCTTCTTGCATGCACAGTCCCCACATCTGCATCATGCTTACTACAACAACTATGTGCTCAAACTGCAGTGCCCACTAGCCTGCCTCCTATCTGCTTTCACTGCAGTCCAGCCAACCACCCCCCTCTCTCACTTGCTTTCTGCCCTGCCTGTCTAGTAACAGTGCAGTCAATTCACACATTGTATATTATGTCAACAGCTTTTTTAAGGGTATTGCCATTTCACCTACATTAAAATCAAGACATTTAAATCTAGTGGCTAACATGCATTAAGGGACCTGCATTTTCTAACTGATAGAACTTTCCCTCCTTTACATGTGTATCAGTGTATCAGTCTATAGACACTGTTCACATGTAGTTCAGAGCATGTCTAATACAAACTATCATTATTACAAAAGGGAGCAGCATTGATTCACTGGGAGGTGGATGATGTCAGCAGAACCCTGCTTAATTGGGGTTTAAGGTTCCTATGTATTGGCCTTACAAGTTATATCTTTGGCCCTGCTCCCAACAAACAACAATTCTGTCAATGTTAACATTTTCTTTCTTTCTTATCAAAACTTGCCAAACTGAATATTTGGATTACTGTGAGACAACTGTATAAAGTGTTAATAATAGTATATAACAGTAAAAAATCCTCACCTTTTAACCTTTTAAGATGCACGGGTACATCACTCTTGATGCTCTTGCTTTCCTCCTCTGTAGATTCACTGCGCATGAGCGTGGGGTCATTCTGTGCCAACCAATCTGCCACCTTGCTCTCAGATGCAATCATAGCAGCCTGGAGTGTGCTCAGATCTCTTGCACTTGCCCCTCCACTTCCTGGTCCGCTCTTTTTGGACCGTGATCGGTGGTGGTCAGATGTAAACTTGGACACATGGTCTTTGATGGTGACTTTTCCTGGTGAGGTGTTGTCAAACTCTATGGTGAAGGAGGCATGCCCTTGAGCTAATGAAAAAACAGGAAACGCATGAGCAGTGACACAATGGTGCAAGTTTCTGTTTTATCAGGTTAGAGGCCATTGAAAATTTGGCGTTTGAAGTCTGCAGTCAGTCTCATTTAATAGCCCCGTATTATGCTTTTTTCTGATCTTTATTATAATGTTGTTTCCACATCAAAAAAATACCTGGAGTTTTGTTTAATTTCAGTCACCCATGTTTAACACATAAACCCTGCATATTTAGGGTGAGTTCTTCTCTTAAACTGCAAACACTCTGTTCAAACTTGTGATGTCATGTGGTAATACAGAAGGTGCCCACTGCATTTTGAAACTCCATACACCTTCACTAGAATCATCACCTATCTCTACTGAACAAAGGGTAAAAGGTAGCTGTTAACTTGAAAACTACTGCTTCATAACATCACAAAGTGGAACCGAGCATTTTGAGCCTTGGAGATGTAGATAGTCTAATAATAAAGGGTTACTCAAACATGCGTGAATGATACAAAACACAACTCCAAGTGTGTTTTTGATGGGGTACCAAGCATTCTAACATGTCAGAGTCAATTTTGCATAATATTCTACACTTGGTACATAAAATGAGCCTTTACCTGTAGTGGTTTGAGTGGGTCCTTCAGTGTCCTTAGTGGGAATTTCATGGATGCCATTATTGGCCATGTGATTCTCCTTGGTGGGAATATCAAAGAGGCTGGAGTTGTGCCCAGTGGATGCATGTAGACTGTCCTCTTTAGTCTTCTCCCTTTGATGTGCCTCTTTGCTGTCTGTAGCAGAATAAAACACAAACATATTTAGGGAATACTTTATTTGTTAAAAGACTAAATTCACTGAAAATGACCAGAATTTCTTAGAACTGTAAAATTTCACATAGAATATCATCATCAAGAGGATGCTGCTTTTTACTGATACTTTGCAGCTGATGTCATCAACATTTCCTAGAAATGTAATGCTAAGTGAAACTACTCAAACTACTCAAGTTAGACTTAATCTGATCTGAATGTTAACACAATCTAACCAGAAAGAGCTAATTTGGTTGGAACTACAACAGATAAGATGATTTGTGCGCTTAAATAAATCTCTCACACATAAAATTACAGCTAGCAGTTTTTCATTTTCCTTTTTTTGAAAATCATCTAATTTCCATACCTGTATTGATCACAGGCTCCTGAAAATGTGTTTTTTAGTTTTTTAGTCTATTAAAACATTTTTGGCCATTTTTGCCAATATGTGCATTATGTTACAAACTGCTGAATATTCCAACACTAGAATTACATGTAGAACACCCCCGGCGTGATGTAACTGCAAAGTATCAATACCGTATGCCATTAATAGAAGAGCCAGTGCACCACGAAAACCTATGCTCCTCGCTATTATTCATCTATTGACCATCAAAACACCCAAATGTCAAAATGATAAATCACTCTCACAAAAATAGATTGCCATCTGCTTCATGATCAGGAATGAACTTCTGCTGATTACATGTATGGGCTTCAGCTTTACATTTTAAGTTTATATAACCCTAGCGCCTGTCATGAGTTGACAGTTAATTTATTGACTAATCATTCAATAAGTAAAGAGATGAAAATATTGCTTTGGCAAGATATGTTTTTATCATGAGGACCTTTTATTTTTATTTTTTGAAGTGCAGTGTTTCATTGTGCCATTTATGACTCATGTTCTATTCACTATATGGTTAATTTAGAAGAAGGTCACTTGGATTATCCTGCTTTAGTTCCTTCTATTACTTATGTGATAGTGTAACTGTCATGAGTCACATGGTCTTCTGGGAAATCAGAGAGAAGTTTAGATAGCATTCTTGCTCAAACACAAAGAACACATTACAACAAATAAGATTTAAATTTAGTCATCACAAATTGGTCATAAGTCTCTATTCAAGGTAGACATTCTAAAATGAGCTACACTGGGATCACTTACCAGAGAACCACAGCACTTCAGCAGCATCTGAGCGTGGCTTGTGTATAGTGTGCGTTTATGTGTTGAGACCGGGAGAAATGGGGGAGCTAGTGCAATGGCGTAACCCAATCAGCCTGAGTGACAATACACAAGGAGGGGGTAGGGACGCTGACAACACTGCCTATTCACTCACTAAGGAGAAAAGAACACACAAACTAACGGGCATGAACCTGGACACACACTCAAGTGTTCTCAGCATTGCTCACTTGATGACATCTGTACCTTATAGTTTGTTAGCTCTTAAATGTTATAGATTCAGTTTAAGCACGAGTACATTGATAACGTTGTCTTATATGCATTCATTTCAAACTTCATAAACAGCCAAAACAATACCTGCTTCCTTCTGACAACACAAGGCTCAAAAGTTCAATTATTTGGAAAAAAAAATAAAATTCACTCACCAACTTCGAAAGCAGAGGGAACCAACCCCATTGATTCTGTTACTGTCAAGATTACTTTAATTTGTTTAAGAAAACGTTTTTGTGAAGCAGGAAAGCAGTCCATAAAATACTCCTAACCTCTGTGTAGTTGAAAATGTCCAGCCTGCTAAGACATTGTCCTGTATCTATCCAGATGTGTCAGAGATTTGAGGGAGCTCAAGACCTTAACCTCCCCCTCGTCAGAATAACTACCAGCTCCACTCAATCTGCGAAGAGTGATTTTATAAAGCTGAGCCTCTATTGGTGTAGACTCTAATCCAGTTACCCTGACAACACACCACCAGTTTACAGAACCCCCAAGTCCAGCAGTAGTCACAGCCTCTCTGACGCACACAGATGCTCTGAAACAGGCCTTTGTGCACACTTATGTACAGACTATTGTTACACACACATACAAGTACAATCACAGATCAATTCAGCCTTAACCCTCAACTGAAAAACAGAAGGTTCTCTAAATAAATGCAGTTTGTTGATAATCACTGAGGAGAACAGACCTGAGACTGAGCTGTCATGTTTTTTACTGGAGGATTTTGTTTCTTGTTTGAAAGAGTTTTCATCATCTGCATCTCCATCCCCCCACCAAGATGGTTGTCCATACAGTGGTGTCCCACGATGCAAAGCGGCAAGATCCCCTTTGGCAGATACAAATGCAGTTATAAATACAAGTAAATACATAATAAATTACTCTTATTATTTACACAGTTGTGTAGTATATGTTTCAATAAAATCTTTCTGTAACATAGATTGGGATTATCAAAATTGGTTTGTGAAAATTTGTATTGTGTTAAAAATGTGTTTTTATTATAATGTATTTTATATAATAATATATCATAATTATAATATATAATGTATCGCAATTGATATTGAATATCAATCTTTTTCTTTAGCATCACAATCAAATTCATTTTACTATCGTAACGCTAATGTAAACAGAGCTAGCTGCTCTTCTACACCAACAACGTAACAAGGAAACACATTTAGCTCATTGAATTACATTTACATTACATTTAGTGCCTAATAAGCATCCTGTGACCTCTAGTTAGACTAAAATAGAGTGATAAAAAGAGAGAGCAATTATGGTCTTTCCCAAACAACACCATAGCCTTGTCTCTTTTATATAGTACTTCAATGTTAACATCCTGTACGCCTCCCACCAAAATACCCCCTTCTTTAAAATATAGGTTTAATGTCAGTCTATAGTTAATTATAGACTCATTTTCCAAAGGGGGTGTTAAAGCACATGCCCTTCATATAAAAGTGACTATATTCACTATATCCTATGTGAAACCTGGTATTACAGTAACACACTAGGATTATGTCTTTACAATGAAGTAAGGTTGACATTATAAATCATCTGTAATATGTGACAATAACTAACACAATTTATTTGACTACATGAGTTAAAATGGGCAGTGGGGACACAGTGTAAATATTTTTGTATTTAGGAGACCACATTCATTGCAATATATTGCTGAGGGTTATATTATGACAAATTCTGACCCTATTATGCATTAGATGCTTAATCTGTACTGACATACAAGCTTCATGTGGCCTTGTTTCAACATCTGGAGCTTACTCAGGACCCCTGAAAGCACTATGTTCACTGATCTGTCATTAGGGACACCCACATATTTGGGTTTCATTCATAGATGTATTAAAATGTTTACAGCTATGTGCCTTATACCAACTGGCCAGGTTGGCCAAATTAAGAAACATACTATATTTCACTAATTATAATCGGAGCTTTGTATTTAAAAGTTCTATATTACACAGAATTGACTCATGTGAGCTTTAAACCATGTTACAATGTTGTTACCTCATAAAAGACATACCCAAAGTTGTGTTTTGTTTCATTCACACATTTTTCTGTAATCCTTTATTATTAGCCTTTTTACATCTCCAAAACTCAAAATACTCTAATCCATCTTGTGATGTCATGTAGTGATAATTATAAAGTTGACCTAAAGTTAAACCTTTAGGTCAGGAGAGATTGGCAATTCCAGAGCTGAAATTATCCCACTCGTTCTAATGAAGGTGTATGGAGTTTAAAAACACAGTTGAACACTTCCTGCCTTACCACATGACATCACAAAGTGGAGTAAAAGTGGAAAGAAATATGCAAGATTTATGTGTTACAAATGTATGACTGAAACAAAACACAACTCCAGGTATGTTGTTGATGAGACAACAACATTATAAGATAAATCAGAAAATTGTGTAACCCTAAAAGCCATCATTTTCATGTATGGTGTTGAATTGGAATGGGCATAAAAAGTAGATTTAATTGCACGCATGCATTGTAACACACTGCATTAAGTTGTTGTCAATAGTGTTTACCTCCTGTCTTGTCCTCTGGTTTCTGGGCATCTGCTGGTTTTGCTGATGGCTCTTTAAAGGAAGTGGCCCCATCAAGTGGCCTCTGGGTGCTGCTACTGGGAGACTTAAGTGCCTTAGAGGGAGACTTAACAGGAGATTTGACTGTTGTGGTTGTTGCAGTGGTATCACTATTGGGCTTTTTGCTGAGCTGAAGTCCACTGGTAAACTTCTCGTGCTAGAAGAATAATGTCACATTTCATACAACACAAACAAATATGAAAAATAGTACCAATGATAAGAGTAGGAATGGGACAATAAACAATAATATCATTTATCTTGATAAAAAGGGTACCCAGTAATTTTATTTATTTTCATTTTTTATAACCGTGATAATCGCCAACAAAGATCATCTCTATTTTATCACCAGAATGTGCAGAAAACAACTATTAATCCATGATTATCTGTTCTCGATCATTGTTGTTTTCACTTATAACAAAGTGCAATACTATAATAATTGTTTAAATATGGAACTTACTAATAATATTACAATTCAAATTATTTACATTCATAAAATGTAACTTTAATCATTATCGTGATATAACTATTTTGGCAAGGATTATTGTGACGGCAAATGTCAATATCGTCCCATGCCTAGATAAGAGGCAAATAAGTGCTACCTTAAGTGCTTCCTCTGGCACGGTGAGTTCCCCTTGCACAACCGTGAATAAGTTGGTATGTGAAACCAGGTTAAGGAAATATCCACAACATGCACAAAGGTGAACAAGCAGTTGAAACATAAATACGTGATATAATGTAGAAAGAAAATAAAAAATGGGGAAATCTCAAATAAAGAGAAAGAAGAAGTTAGTAGCTATTTGATTTGTTTCATGACAAGGAAGTAAAAGGATATCATAACCAAACCTCAGCTTGTCCTCCAACTTTAGAGTAATGTACATCTGCTCCTGAATGCGGACATCGTTTACAAACGTCTAAAGAGGAGAGGAACAACATGGCAAAGCATAATTAATTAATGATATAATGATCATGTCAGCTGTTATACTGAGGAAATGGTTTTACTAATGTTCTATGTCTTACTTCCCTTAAGGGTTCTAAATAGTGCTGAGCCTTAACTGCCATTTGAGCTCAAGAGCTTATGAAATCTCAAGAACTCAAGAACTGTATTAATTTACACTTAACACACAAGCAGCTATTTAGATACAATTTCACAAATATTAGGTCCATGGGATAAGGCCAAATTACTCAGACACTTCCCACAATACATCAAATGTATTCATACTTAAAGATCCTAAATTATGCAAAATTTACTCTTGTGAGCTGTAAGTCATGTTATAATAGTGTCACTTTTTCAAAAACATATCCAGAGTTGTGTTTTGTTTCATTCACACATGTTTGAGTAAGCTTTTGAGTTTACCTTTTGTTCAGTAGACACTGTCAATTCCAGGACTGAAATTATCCAAATTATCCTAGTGAGGGTGTATGGAGTTTAAAAACAGTGCCTGTATGTAGTAATGCCTGTATAATCACAAGACTTCACAATGTGGAACAGTGTTTTCAGTCTAAATATGCAGGATTTGTGTGAACATGTGTGAATGAAACAAAAACATCTCCAGGTATTTATTTTTCTTTCTGGTGGAAAACAACATTCCAACATAGATCAGAAAACAGAATAATATGGGCTTTTTAATACAGTAACAAAATAGCAGTATAGTATTAGTACACACGACATAAAATCATTTTCTGTTCTGAACTGTCTTACTCATTCTGTTCCTATTTTCTATTTCTACCTCACTCTGCAGTGGTCAGGTTTCACAGAGTGGCACGTGAAATCCAATACCACATTCCTGCCTTTACCAAAGCAGCAATAAAACTCTCCAAAATCAGATTCTCACTCAAGTAACACACTCCCAGCACACCCAATGCACTGACTCAGCAGAAGAAAAACATCCTTTGAAACCAGCTAGAAGAAGGCCACGGTTAATGACCAAGCAGGAAGTGGCAGTGACTTGGGCTTCCTGTCTGAAGCTGGAGAGGACGTGAGGGACGTGGTGCAGATGTGTTCAGTGTGTGGGCTGTGAGTGAGTGGGTTATCGCCATAGTTGACTAATGCAGTATGAACTATAAAGCAGTTACTCAGCTTAAAGGTACACTGCGTAATATTTCTAGTGGAGGGCCTGCCACCTGATGTCTCCATGGAAATGTTATTACTTTGTCTAGAATGTACCGCAGTATAGATTAAATTTATTTATCACAAAAGAGACAAACAAGGCTACAGCACTATGCTACATTACAATTTAGATCTGTGTGGAGAGTTGTCCCTATTCATAGAAGGAATTATTCTATTTTTGAGCAATAGAAACACCGTTAATGAATAATTGCTTGATGGTTATGTTTAAAGTAATCCAATGAAACATTCCAGGCAAAGCAATAACATCTCCATAGAGACAAGTAACCCAGAAAAGTTGCACAATGCACCTTAAAGCATGGTAAAATCAATGTGTGTTTTCAGGGTATAGTTTAAAATAATAAAAGGAGGATTCTCTTTTCAATTAATTTAAGGTTAGTTTAAAGGTGACCTAAAGATGTGTCTTTTGTGCCTTAGGAAATAATTTGCATATAATTAAGTTTGAAATTAGTTAAAGTGTGATAGAAATCTATTGACTTTGATTGATTAACCTCTACTCTTATCCTTTCTTCTGTAATTTATCTTAAAAGTGGGAATTTTCCACAGTCTCTTTCCTTATTACAGCATCACAACAATTTGTACATTATCAAACCTATTGTGCGTGGCTTGTTTACATCTACATATATTAGGCTTGTTAAAAGTATCAAAAATCACTACTACTATGCTAACTGATACTAAAACCAGAATAGAAACTAGATATTCATATGAGCAGGTATTGATACTAAAAAATCCCATTCACAGGACAGAAATGAATTTTCCTGAATATCTTAAAAATGATCTTGAGTTCCATCAGAACAAGTATAATACCGCATAACACCCATGCACCACAACTGTAACACCACATGGTATTATAAAAGAAAATACTATAATTTAATGTTGAAAATCACATTCTATTGTATAAATAAAGAGTGTTTTTCTATTATTATCGTGGTATCGGAATCAGTATTGAGTATTAAGTCAATTTTAATAACATACATTGTAGTCTTCGAATATTTCATGCTTACCCCATTCAGACTGCCCAGATCTTTGACCTTGTGCTCGTCAGTTCCAGGCTCATAGTTGATGACTGCATGCTGTTTGTCCACACTGCGGGACTGCAAATAAAACATAATAAAAAGACCATTAATGAACTCAATTACTAATACACACCACTAATATTACTACTTACTATTACTCTTACTGTGTATTATTGCTAATACACACAACTAATCACAAACTAGCACTGACAGGACTATTTTGCACAGTTATTAAAAAGCTGCAGATATATACAGGGCAATGTAAGGATGAACAAATATTGATTTTCTATGGCCTTGAGTTCAGATATAACACATTACATACCTAGAAGCCCTTCTCACTTACAGGGAATGACACAGGAATTTTTTAGGAATGTTAAAGATAAGAAGGAAAATGCAAGGAAGTCAGCCAGACCTTGATGTGTAATGAGTCTTTTACCATAATCAGGGCTTTTATGCCAGGTAAAGCTGTCAGGTGGTTAATTATAGTTTTAGTGTGTCTTAATGTTGGTGATAGTATTACACATTGATGTATACATCTGTAATATACTATAAAATCACTTATATAAAAAATATATATCACCTGAGTAAGAGTCAAGCCTGATTCTTTGGAAGCAGAAACAGGCTTTTTGAGAGAGAAAACACATCCTTCAGTATTTCTCATATCTGATTGATAAACAACGCTATCACTGTAAGCATTTGTCTCTAAGGCCAATATATAAAGAGACAGCTGTTCTGATCTTAAAGTTATGAAAAATTACAGATGTCAAACAATTTTATGCTCATTTTAAAGAACCAGAAAGTTGGACAACACAATGACAGCCAATAACAAAATCACACACAGTGAAATTATTATTATTTTTTTTTAAATGCTCATGTGATGAGGCCTTGGCTCAATAAAAAAAAGTCACATGGAGGTGAAGTAAAAATGAACAGATTGACAAAAGATTACATTTGGTCAATTCATTTAACAACAGACTTCAAGATCTCACTAATCTAAGTCAGCAAAAGTTCACAACATTTAAACTTGTGTACAATACATTTTCACATTTAAAGGCTACAATATGTTATGGATTACATGAAGTTCAGTAAAGTGGTGTTGTTTCTAGGTCTTTATGGTAAAAACATGAGCTGAAATTGACAACAGTAGTTGACCAAAACAAACTTTGTCATAACAGTGACTGTGGTACTGCCTTTCACGTATCTGCCCCACTTACTAATAATAGTGACCAGTGAAGGGACTTGAGGTTGTACACACAAATGCATGTGACCTCTTTTTGTGTACTGCGGCAAAAATACAGTGCATACTATAAATACTATTATAAATACTACTACAGTACAACCTTGAAGTTTCTAGGAATATGTACAGGCATTTATATGAAAATTTGAAAATATAATATATTTTGGGGCTCAGTATTTATCATGTGTACATTTTCTTTGTCAAAGTGGGGAGATTTTAGGTATTTTTGTTGTAATACAGTAAGATTTTAGTTGTAGAAGATTGAATAACTAATTTCTGTGGCTAATTATTGGTTCATTCTGCTATTCATTTGTTGTAGCTCAGGCTTTTTAATGATACTGTATATTTAAAATTCTTTACTGGGATTATCTTGCATTATTAGCATTGTGTCAGTGGGACAAAGTAGTTTCAATAATATCGTTTATCATGCCTCAAAATGACAAGCCTAACTGCATGTTCTGCTACATATTAGTATTTGCATATACAATACAAGGCTTAGTGGCTATTGCCTAAGTAAATACTACTTTGACTTACCTGTAGCATGAGTTCGCAGTCATCTCGACCCACAAAGATCATCTCCCGGGGCAGTCTGTGACGTGTGCCCCCACTGCTCACCAGGAACCAGGAGGTCACACTCATCTTGGCTCTCTGCTGAGACCGGTCCACGCCTCCAAGAAACAAAACAACATTTAAAGTTCTTTCTTTCCTTTTTGGTTTTGCTATGACAATGAAAATTTGAGCTTTCCCAACCTTTACACACCTCTGGTCCAGGCTCACTGTTGATAGATCACAAGGAACGCCAGACTGCTAGGCCATCCTAAGGAGAAATAGTGGAAAATACTCTAATCATTATTCAACTCATTGTATTTTCTCAACATAAATTTTACTTAGTACTTTAAATGATTGATCTTAGAATTGATCTTCTCTGTAAAAAGAAATCAGCAGACCAGAAACCATTTTTTACGTGTATAAATAAGCAGTAAAAACACTTAAGCGGCCCATAAGACACATCCTCTCCTCCCTGATCATTGCCAGATGTGAGAGGAGGAAGTGATGTAGGAATGTTGGCTGAACTCCACAATGGGACGTTTACTCTCTCTCTCTCCTCCTCTTCTCTCTCTGTCAGATGAGCCACAAAACCAGGTCAAACTCAGCAAGAATAACTTTCTAACTTTCTCTTGACTGTCTTGTGGCATGGCATAACAGCACACAATATGCAATAAAAATTTCAAAGTGTAACCACAAATATTTGTTTATTCATATTTTACTGAAAGTGAAGTTAACCCATGTTGATGTAATTAATAAATAAGATGGGGTCTTTGTAAACTACATTTTATTTTAAATTAAACTGGAATAAAATCAGATCCAGTTGTTTCAAGTTGTCAGTGATACGCTTGACGCTTGTTAATCACAAGGTCCAATACTGCTGCAGTAACAAACTGTGGTTTAGAGCAGATTTTGAAAAAATAAATTTAATTTACTTGTATTTACAAAATACACTGATTAAAAAGTGAATACAAAAGTTATGTTCATGACATTAAGACTGAAGCCGTATTTATTGGATTTGGATTTTAAAATTGTGATTGATCAAAACAAGATTGCCATATTTCTCAACCCCAAATGATATGCATACTGTATGCCAGCATATCATCAGAGGGGAAATTAAAGACTATTCCACTAATCTGCCACTCACTTGACCCCAATGCACCAGCTCAATAATCCTTCAGTAACATTTTAACCTTTATAAACTGTGTATCTGATGTTAAAAGTACAGACAATGCAGTGACACTAAATACTGTGTTGTTTAGAGCCTCCACTGAAACCAAAGCCTCAGGAGGGGAGCTGCCTAAATAACCACTCTAATGAAAAAGTGGGAAAGGCGCATGTGTGCGATACAGGGCATAGCAGCCTCTGCGGTACCAGTAAAACCCTCACATAGTACACATGAAAGGCACAGCTGGAGGTAAGCAGAAGGACAGGGTCTGAGAGAAATGCTAAAATATGTGCCCATGAGTACAAAAATGCAAGAAGCAGATGAAAAATCACTTGGCAAAATGTCCTTGCAAAATGTAACAAGACTTTCTTTGTCTCCTATAGCATCCCATCCTTCCTTGTAACCCCCTAAGGCCCAAACTCATGTCACATGTTTGGGAAGTAATCCAAGCTCAAGTTACTGTATTGTTTTGTCCAGTCCAGCAATATTGATACTTCTCTCAGTATGCCAGACTATTTTACAGGATCAGTGCACATGCTAAGTTTTAACACTTTTATATCTTTAAACTGCAAATGCTTCACAGTCTGAAGTTACGATTCACTGCTTCATTTTATGATTGATGTAAGTGTTTGAGAGTGTATTCTGCTGTATTATGCTGTCTCTTCTCCAGGCTATCATTGCAAAGGTGTTCTCAACTAATATACCTGGTCAAATATATATTTAAAAAAAGACAAATAAATAAATAAATTGTGAAATTGTAAAAATAATAATATGATTGTGTATTGTTAATATAGCATTATGTTCAAATTTAAAAAATGAAAACAAATGACAAATGTAAACTTCAAAACAAAGGCTAAATGTAAATAAAAAGTAGGTCATCATAATAAATAAAACAATGTGTAACTTTGTCTGACCAGATGAGTACCACAGGAAGGAAAAGATGCTACTCAATCCTTTCAAACTGTAAAATACTGGATCTTTTATTAAAATGTGTGAGTGATTAGTTTGCAAACTGACAAGAACAACACAGGAGCAGAGCTGGAGTGTTTCTCTTACACTCTTTCAGCACTGGAGCTAATAAAGACGAATGGCAACCTCATGGTTTTGGCAGGAATTCCCCAATCCTTGACCTAGACTTGTGCTGTCTCTGTAGTCTGCACACAAACACCCACATACTGAGAACTAGGGAAACATTCATACAGATGAGATTATACTAAAATGTCTGAAATGTTTAGAAAATACCAGGCATGAGAACTTTTTTTTTTTTTTTTCTAGAAGTTTATCTTAAAGGTCCTATATTACACAAAAAGTACTCTTGTGAGCTTTAAGCCATATTATAATGCTATTATCCCCTCAAAAACATACCTGTATTTGTGTTTTGTTTCATTCACACATGTTTGAGTAACCCTTTGTTATTAGTTTGCCTAGATTTCCTAAGCTCAAAATGCTCTGTTCCACCTTGTGATGTCATGAAGTTATAGATATTTTTGATGTGGAAACAAGATTACAAAGAAACACAGATCAGAAAACAGCATAATATAGGCCCTTTAATACCAAACATGCAAGGACTGTAGTCTGAAAATGACATGCTCTCTGAAGGCACCATGACATTCAATAATTCAGTTTACAAGCTATTGCTAATCTTGCTTCCCCTTCTGTTCCTTACACAACAGTCCCTTCAATTTGAATTCAAATCTCATCCCTCCTCTCTATGTAGGCCAACCGCACATAGCCGGGACAACACAGGAAGTGACATCAGTAGCTGGGGTGCCTGTTAATTCACTGTCCGCGGTTTCCACATAGCATCTGGATGGAATGTGTCCCGGGATGACGCAACAGCTGGGTAACGCACCATCATTCCCATCCCACATATCAGCGAGGCAGTCACCAACACCATCACACTCTCTCAAACAGCTGCTATAGAGTCGGGAGGGTTTTTGTGAAAATTTATGAGATATGAATCTGAAAGAAGAACATAAATACAGACTGAGGCGACTCATTCAATAGTCATACTTGGAACCATATGGTTTTATAATGAGAGCCAAACTTAGTCAGGGTGTGGTTTCTCCTTGGTTTGATAGAAAAATGTTGCTCAGTTACATTTTTCTTTGTATAAATGGTAAATAAGATTATACTGACTCATACAAATAACATAGTATTGACAACTACAAGCTCCTCACTCTCATAATTAATAGTTGATGTAAAAGCTGGACTGGGAACATGAATATTTGACTAAACAAAGCACTTAAGCACTAATTAATACACTGAAGTAGAGCCCGACCGATATGGATTTTGTTGTGGCCGATATGAAACCGATATAATGGGAGTTGGAGCTGCCGATATAATCACCGATATATTTAGTGATGTAAAAATTCACTGTAAATCTTGAATTGTTTAAAAAACTTAGGTTTGGCTCTAGTGGATTCTAAATTGGGTTTATTTAGGCAACATTTATTGTTATTCTGACTCTTTACATCATATTTACATACAGTAGATTGGCCTAATGGCATTTTTGCATCACATTCTAGCTACTAGTGATGGGTATTCCAGTTTTTTTTTGAAGAACCGGCTCTTTTGGTTCGGCTCACTAAAGAAGCTGGCTCTTTCTTTTTGGCCCCAAGCGACTCTTGAGATTGTTTTGTTGCAAGCAGGACTAAACCAGAACTGAACCAGGACTGAAAAAGGACTAAACTAGGACTAAAACAGATTTAAACCATGTTTAAAACAGGACTAAACCAGAAATGAACCAGGACTGAGTGTCGGGACTCGGTTTCTATCTCTCTCCCTCACTCGAGCTCGAGATAAGTCCTGGTTTATTCATTTTATGCTCAACTGCTGCACTTTTTTTAATCACTTTTTTTTTATCTTATGCACATGCATATTTCTGAAAGTTTCATTTTCAGCCACTGCTGCTGTCAAACTACAGGTCTACATGCGGCATGAAGAGAAAAAGTGAGAAAAAGAGAAAACACGGCTCCCAATAAGAAGCATGCTCCCGTTTTTCGCTTCAAAGAGCGACCCATCACTACTAGCTAGTAAAGAAACTACCGCTATTAGCCTTTAGGTGTAAAAACGTGCCCACCGCAGTAATTAATTATATGCATAAATGTGGATCATTCACACTTCTATTCACATTCTCATTTACATATCAGTGCTGGTCCAGTAACAAATATACGGCCAATATAGTCACTTTACAATAGACCAATAGAAAACAGCCTGTTTATGTGTGGGAGCTACAGCAGCTAATCGCTAACAAATAACCAAAACTAGTCAATGTATTTCCAACACTCACCGCTCACACAGGCTCCTCCTCACATCACAAATCTGCACTAATAAAAGTCCTTTTAATCCTGACTCAAACCGATTGTCCGTAAAAAGAATATAATCTCAGTGTTGCACCGCTGCGGGTGTAAACAATAGAACGTGAGTGATGTGACATGACTCTGGTGGTGTGTTCAGGGACAGTATGGACACAGACACAGACAAATTACACCGCAGATAAATACTGATGCGGAGCCACATATTTGGACATTTATCTGTCTGTAAATTGGATTAAATGAACATAATGTAGAGAGTCTAAGCTTTATAACGAGGTATAACATGCCCACGTGAAATATATCAGCAAGCATATCGGCCGATATGTCTCCAGGTACCCATATCGGCTGATAATATCGGCCAGCCGATATATCGGTCGGGCTCTACACTAGCGCACTCAAACAGGGCAAACGGTTAACAAAGCATGACAAGAACTCAAAAAGGATATTTAGCATAACTGTGCTAAAGACCTTTATAGTTAATCTTAGGCCAAGTGTTACAGATGCAAATTCACTAACCATAAACCATATTTTACAATATTTAGTAAATGATTTGAACTTAACATTTAATCCATTGCCCATTCCAACAATATAGAAAAATTATAAAGAAAGTTATCAAAACCATTGAATCCTGCACTTCAGTCCTGTACCTCAAGCCTGGTTACAGTTGTACAGTTTAGTTTGTTTGTTTTTCATATTCTGTAAATCCCTGCTGTTAACATTATGTTTTCTCTGAAGTTTGTAACATTTCTTCAATTAAAAAAACTCAACAAAACGAGAACTTTTTTT